CCCAATTAAAAACCGGGGGGGCCCTGGTTGGGCGGGATTTTTTCCTTTGGTTCTTTTCCCGGGGGGGCTTCAAGGGGGCACCTCCCCGGGGGGGGGGAGTTTTTTTTTTTTGGGGGGGGGCCCCCCCCCCCCCCCCCCCCCGGGAACTTTTGTTCTATTCTTTGGCTGTCGAGGAGGAAGAAGTCAGAACCCTCTACGCCTACCTAGCACATGTGCATTCTGAGGGAGTGCCGTAAGGCTAAGGCGCATCGTCCGTACAAACCTTGCCGCCGACCATGCCTTCCGAGGTGAACGACCACGCCAGCCCCCATCGGACGGTCCTGCCCTGGAAGAACTCCGTCGTCCGGGTGTTCTTGACGCCGGCCTGCCAGCGCCCGGGAAAGAGGGGGGGGGGGAACGGAATGGACACACGGCTGAAAGGTTGTGCATGTTCGCGGAGGGGAGGGAAAAGGAGGGCCGTAAACGAGAATGGGCCACTCCCTCAGACCAGAAATTAAACAACACAAACGTGACCGCAGCAGCATTGCGTCATGGCAACAGCTTGTGCGCTTGGGAAGCTCAATTGGTGAAAAAGATAAAATGACCAAGATTTCAAAAACAGGGAGAAGCCGCAGAGTAGGCAGCTGCCGGGAGGGGTTTCGGAACAAGGCTGGCCAATCAGACGATACCACAGGAAACTCCCCCCGCGAACGCTCCGGACCCTGCCCATTCTCCGGATGATTCGAACGTCCTGTAGTGACACCTGAACCAACTCGAACCTCAACCACCTAGATATGTTGGCTACCTGTGTGCTTCACGAAACAGGCTCAGGGGGAATGCTACTGGAGATCCAATATTATTGGGGGGGCAGCTGCCGTGAAAAGGTTAGGTTGCCCAACTTGTGCTCCCTCAAGGCAATGCGCCATGGACAACTCTTGCCATCGCCTTGGCGAAAGCTCTTGGCTCTCCTGGACACAACCCCCAAGCCGGCTTGGTGCCCACCGTGATCCCAAACGCACCCAAACTCTGCAGCATCCGAGCGGTTTTGCTGGGAACACGCAAATACCAAGCTAATATTCACGTGACAGCATTTTACAGCACATCCACTAGCCTAGCGAATGCACTCTTTGCTCGGTACCTACAGTAGCTTGCTGCAGCCGCAAGAGGATGCTCCCAGACTTTACGGCTACGGCACGCGATGATGTACAGTCGGCCACGAAGCGTGCGGCTCACCTCTCGCAAGACCCGCAGGAGTTTCTTTGCGTTGGCCTTCTTCCCGACCATGCTCGTGTACCACCGCACCTTCGGGAGGACACGCAGAAAGGAGGGGGGGGGGGGAGGGGGGGGCGTACTCTCATGTTTTGAGTGCCTTACAAGCTGGTCTGACCAAGAAGCTAACTTTCGTTCTTTCATGTCCCATCTGCTGTTTCAACGAATTTAGACTTCAAATTTGGCGGGTGCTCGTATAAGACCATAGGGGATGCGCAGGTGCCGGAATTTTTCGGATCTGAGTTGATTTTAGGTATATAACTATCAATTGGGGGCATAGTTGGGATACTTCCTGTACTGAAATCAGCATAAAAAAAAGTTTCTCAGATCAAGCTGAAAATTGCTGTGCATGTACCTGGGAACATCGCGAGAGCAAAGATGGTAGTTTCAAGGCTCACGGCATCTTCCATCAGAAGTTATGGCCTATTAAAGAATCCGATACAACACACGAGATACCTGAGGCAACGTAAGGATCTCGCGATTCCCACGCTGTTTTTTCGAATCAGAAGCTGAAATTTCGACACAGCATCCCCATGAGTGCAACAAACAAATAAGCCACTGCGCCATTTGACTTTGTTATTTTTTTCTGCGACTTTTTGGCATAGCAAATATTCCCATGAATAATAATATCAGCCTAACGTACGAAACAAAAAAAAAATCCAAATAGCGCAGTGGCCTTTGTGTTTATAGTACTCATGCAGATGCCGTGTCAAAATTTCAGGTTCTAACTCGAAAAAACCGCGTGGGAAATCCGCTCTAACCTTCAAATTTGCGTCTTGGTCAGACCAGCTTGTAGCGGTGAGACTATTGGCCACGCGTCCTCGAGAGGACGGAGCATTGTTCCCACAGGATCGATCACCGATGGCCAATCGTTCTTTGCTACTTCGACAAAGGTGGCTCAAAAATATTTTCCCCAGCCTAGCGCTCATATCGATATCACTTCCCGCCCTTACAAGCCACTTCCGAGGGAGGGGGGGATTGTTGCCTGCCTCGGTTTTGGGACCATTGACCGAGCAATTTTCTTTCATACGCGGCAACGTTCCGAGCTACACTAGAGACGCATGGTGAGGCTGGGCATTCACAGCGTGGGTGCCGTGCATCGGACAATCACAAGTGACCCATAATATTCCTTCTCTACTCTCGTTTTGAGTGTGGCGATCGTACGCTCGCCACTATCTCGCTTATCGTACTTGCTCGCCTCCCATTCCGTGTAACTTCTTACAAGGAGATCCTTGGAAGTCAGCGGATCGGGGCAAAGTGCTACAGTAAGCTACAAAACTATTCCAAGTCCTTTGCGCTCCCTGTACCTTGGCATCTAGACACCATGCCCGTGCAGCCAAAAAAAGAAGGAGCAGAGCAAGGGAAGAGTACAGATAGCGCCCGCACTAAAGAACCTCTACTTGTAGCCGAGGCTCGTGGTTCTCAGTTCCTCTTATGGGCTACCAATGACCGCTCCATAGGTTCGAGTGTAACGGGTTTCCTAACCGGGCTCACAGATGGCGCTCAAGTTCTTGTCTTTGAAATAACGCTGGGGTTGAAGATATTACCTCAACTGCCAAGTTCTTACTTCGTTCGGTGACGGCGCTATCTGCACTGCCTTTTCGCTGTTCCCGCTGCTTACCCGCTCCCTGAGGCGGAGGCTGTCCCTGACGATGGCCGTCACGAAGGCCACCTCCCCTCCGTGGCACGCCACCTCGCCTGCGGCGCGCCATGTCCCCCGTGGCCGTGTGCAGGATTCTGCCCCGCCTTTCGCCCACCGCCGTGAGAAGCAAGCACAACATCCAAGAAAGGTGGGGGGGGGGGGGAGGGGGGAGAACACTCAGCGGGAACCGCGAACCAGGTTTTAGGCCACGCGCCACACCGCTTCCGTCGAGATCGAACAGAGGCGGTGTGGGCATATGTCGTTCGCTTGTTCGCTCGTTCGTGCGATCATGCTGATCTACGGGCCAACCAGAAAGACGGCGAAATTGTCGCGAAGAAGGTACCAAAAACATGACACACGTTCACAGGGGCGCCGGAATCGTGCCTCAAGGAAAAGCGCCCCGTCTGCCACATTTGTTCGCGAGCTTCATTCGCTTCGTCTGCGGCCAACGAATCGGATTGTTGGATGCACGGAAAAGTTATCTGCACATACACTTGCATTTATAGCAGTACGCAATACACCTCCCTCATCATGAAACATTTGTCTGCCTGTCTGTCTGTCTCATGTCTCTGTCCCGGTCTCTCTCTTTCTGTCTTTCTCTCTCTCATACCAACGTTATTTATCGTGTACCACGCTGCTGTCGGCGGCCTAGCCCAGTCGACGCTACTCCAAGAAACATACACACACGCACCCCTCCTTCCACTCGATGGCTCTCACCTCGTCTGCAGACTCGAAAAACGGCGGGTTCGTCATGGAGAAGTCGAAGTCCCCGTCTTCTTCCCTCAGTGCGGCCAGCAGCGGCCCGGGCGCAGCCTCGTCATCGCCACTATCCGCAGGCGACGGGACCAGCCGAACCTCAATTTTCTCCTTCGAGATTGTGGAGGGAGGAAAAACATCCAACCAAAGAGGCACGGTGGCATGAGTGCAGGGACTGGGGATTGCACGAAACATTACCAAGTACACTCAGAGCGAAGGTCGCCATGACGGCGCAAGCATGCCAAATTCAATCCGCGTGCGGGACAAAAAATTAAAAACTTTTGACGCATTCCTCATTATTGGACAGCCTCAACCGGGGCATAGCGGCTTCGACCACAACATACCACATCGTTTGAGCGCTGAAAGGGGCTCAGGGGTGGTACCCGGGCGTTCTGTATTTTCTGCATGTACATACACCAAGGACTCGCTGTCGTATGTTGGTAAGCCGGAGATAGCCAACGCTACTTCAATGCTCAGGTTGCCGACATCACACAGGACGCCTACCAAGGTATTCCTGCGATCGCATCCTACGCATTCCAAAAGTCTCAAAAACTGGCAGGAAAACAACCAGCTGCCTCGAAAACGCCAGCGCTGTTCGCAGGTTTCGTCACACAAACGAAACACTTTGAGCACACATATACATGTTTGTTGGGAGTCGACACCCCACCCCACACAAGGGAGCCTCTTCGCCAAACCTCTCCCTACCCTCGGCGTACCTGCAAGTCGTTGGAACGAACGTTCTTCTCTGCCCACTCGGCCGAAACGGGGTCTATCTCGGTCGCCAGGAACGACCACCCCGCCACCTTTGCACCCAGCAGCGGGTAGATGCAAGACGCCCCCGTGCCCACGTCGACGCCTCTACGGCTAGGCTTCTTCGCCCCCCCCGTCGCCTGGTCCAAGTCGCCGTCGACGTCGTCGTCGTTGTCGTCGCACACGGCCATGCCTTCCCCGCCATCCTCCTCCTCCACCCCGCGCGTGGTACCGTACAGAAGCAGGTTCCTCTGCGCCAAGTTCATCCCCCCTCCCCCACCTTCCTCGCCTGGCGCATCCTCCGGCGATGAAGAATGTCGCCGCGCTGACACCGACGACGGCGGCGAGAGCTTCATGAGGTCCGAGAGCCAGCAGACGTAGTTGAGGCGGTTGGCCACGGGGGGGCACAGGCGGTCGAGGGGCGCGTCCCACTCCCGAAGCCCGAAGTCGTGCCGGAGCATGACGCGGGTCAGCTCCCTCATGGCGGCGGGGTCCGCCCAGTCGATCGCCGCGCGACCCGTGTCCGGGTCGTCCCGAACGTGGGGGCCGAACGTGTCTGGTGATGGTTCGCATGGTGGGTGGTTTTCGAGCAGAGGGAGGGCAACCGTTCGCGTTGAGACAGCAGTCTACGCAGCAAAACATACTAAGCAAACATATGGGAAAAGTATTAAATCCGTGCTTTAGGGTTAGGGTTAGGGATAGAGATAGCGTCTGCGTGCCCCCTCCCTATCCTTTTTCTATATACTCTTCAAACCCTGCGTAGGCGGTCCCGTTGAGAACGCCTCAGAAGATTAGACGGACAATATGGGAGGGATGACAGGTGTGCGGAAAATCGACGGAAAATAGGTCGTTCGTAGCGACTACTGCTGTGCCGTGTGGCAATACAATTGATCGGGCGGGGGATTGTGCGGTTGACAAAGGGGGTTGGGAAAGTACAGAACGAGTCGATCAGTAAGTACAAGTCTTGCGTTCCGTGGAAGGGCGTGGTACCGGTTGGCGGGTCGTTTGTGGTCATCCGGGTACCTGTCGCACATGGGCACTAAGCGGAGGTGTAGGTGCGTGTCATGACGTTTTAGCTGCCCGTAAGAAAGGGATAACGTCCGAATCGTAAGTTTCCCATGTCCCACAATAAAAAAATATTGACAAATCGGCGACTGAAGAACAACGTGTCTGCTGTTCTACGCTACGTACGGACGTGGAGGTTCAAGAAGAACGGTTCTTCAAAGCGATACGCTGCCGCGCGGGTGCGTGTGAATGCAGACACGACTGGTATTCACCCCTTCTATGCGACAAAGTCGACACAAACAAGTGGGTTTCTTTTTTGTTCCTTGCGCAGAAGGCAGTTTCTACCCTAAAAGCTCACCCGGATACTCTCTCGCCAGTTCACGGAAGTCAGGGCGGTAGTGACGGTACAGGTTGGCGTCGTGCATTTTCCCGCCGCCGGCACTGGCATGCACCTTCCACGGCTTCTTCTTGTTCTTGCAAACGGCTGTGCCCCCGCCGTCACCGCCACCGCTGCCGACTCCGCCCGGGCTTGTGGCATCAGCAGCGGCAGCAGCGCCGCCTTCGTCGAGGGCATCGTCGTCGTCGTCGTTGATGGCGAAGGTGCTACCGCCCCCGTCTCCGTTGCCGTAGCTGGTCAAGCCTTCGAAGGCGTCGTCGCCGATACCGCTGCTGAGTCTTCGCTTCTTGCTCAGTGGGGATTCTGGTTGTTGTTGTTGTGGAGACGAGAAGGAAGAGTGAGCGGCAGGTGCGATGTGGAGGCTCTACGTCGATGAAAACGGCGGGCATAATTTTGAGTGTACTGACTTCTAATGTGTTAGGTTAAACCTGGTGAAATGACTTTGCGTGTATAAGTAGTGCTTGTACAGCGTTGTATCAGAAATGTTGTGCGTTCATATTGAGCGGTATGACAGGTGAAATACTGCTTGGTATCGTGGTAGAGACACGCCACGGGACCATGACACACGAGGGATTTACTGCTACAGGTGTGCAACAAAGGGGCAGGGTGAGGCGGATATTCAAATATCATTCAGAGTTCAGTAGGTATGCACTCGCCGATCGCCCCCGAACAGAGAACACAGCATTAGACACAACGGACAGAGTGACTGCTGTATGCGGCAAGGCGGTAGCAAGGAAGGAACAGGCATTGTTGGTGTTTTCGAAAATGATGGGTGTCAATCGGATTTGAAATCAAACAATGCCAGAAGCGGGGCGGTGAAGCAGCACCTACAGACCCTTCACCACATTGGACTAGTGCTGTACCTAATTTCGCCGCACCTTCGTTGAACTCCTCGCTTTCGAAGTCGGCCCTCGATCTCGACATGGGTTACAACAACAACGACACACGGGAAGCGTGGTGTGTGCGGTGCAGTGTGGTTGAGTGGCTGATGGTGCTGGGTGGGCCCTGGGGATGCTGATCGTCATTGAGATCGTGCCGCGCAGCGCGCGGGCATTGAGGGGCTCCGTGGATCACGGCGTTGGTGGTTTTCCAGCACGCGCCCACATCGCGTTTTGGTTCTCGTTCTCTACGCTATGCCTCGCGCTGCTCCGCCTCGCTCTCGCGTCTATTTGCACTCTGCACGTTGGCTGGCTCGCCCAGGGAACCTTACACGAGTGCTCGCTTGCCTAGAGTGCAGGTGACGACTCTCACCATGAGCTCCAGAAGAAGTACGAAACAGCAACGCGGCGGTAAGAGTATGGCCGAGGCGATGGAGGAGGACTCCTCCGACGAAGATTCTGGACCGGAGACCATGCCCAGCAACACCAAGACCGCGGCAGCGGCAGCAGCAGCAGGAGCAGGAGCAGCGACGACAGAGCCACAACACAGCAGCGATGGAAGCAGTGAAAGTGATGACGGCGATGGTGATGATGATGACAACAGCAGTAGTTTCGGCAAGCGCAAAGCGGACGATTTTCTGCGGCGGCAGGAGCTCGCCATGGACCCCCGGTTCAAGGCCACCGTCGTGCTCCCCGGGGACGACGTTACCGAGACCACCACCCGCACCACCAGAAGCCTAAGGCTAGGCCCGGGACTGGTGCAGCACGCCCAGGACAAGGTCATGGCCACTCGCGCCGGGGTGCTGAGATATCGCCCCCCGTGCTCGTACTGGGTGGAGAGCAACGGGCGGCGGTACGGGGCGAGGGTGGAGGATCAGGTGCTGGGCATCGTGGAGGACAGGATGGCGGATTCCTACAAGGTCAACATATTCGGGAGGTGATCGTGCCTGCTGAGGCCATTGTTGTTGGTAGCTGGTCTTGCGGCTTGTGGTTGGTGGGCTGGTGGCGTGTCATGGCCTGGCTTGAGCTTGATACAGGTTGCCAAACGGAAACGCGGTGTAACGTTCTTGCTGGGGGTCTGCATACACAGAGTCTCTGCTGCGACGTTTGCGTAACTTTAGCTTTCGCTCCGTTGGCATTCTTACTTCTATATTTCTTACTTACCCGTTCCCTTTTGCTTCCCCCCCCACGCACGTATATCAGCTGCGCAGCGTTGTTGGGCATGCTGGAGTTTGACGGTGCTTCCAAGCGGAGCAAGCCAAACCTCAGGGTAAGCGTTGTTTCTTGGTGCATTCACTGGGCCGTAGTCCCTGCTGAGCGTGAACTCGCTCACATGCACTTCTATTTAGTTGTTCCAGTTGGCGATCCCAGGTATAGGTTGATGCAAACACACCGACCGCCGGCTGCGATACCACCTTACATATAATGTTTTTGCTTATGTTCGGCACCACGGCTGTTTGGCTTTGCTCTGATGGTGTCTGGAACGAGCTTCACCTCGGAAGCTGTGGAAGTCGCTCACACGTCGCGTCGTTGACACAGCTACAGTCGCTTCAATGGCAGCCAAGAGCCCAGGCGACCCGGTTCTCGCAAGACGTTGGGATGTCGCCGTTTAGAACGTGCGCTATCGCCGTGTTCTCTTTCTGCTTTTTTCGCCCCGCAGGGCGTCCATACAACACTCCAAGACGTTCAATCCTGCACCATCGTTATTTTTTGTTGTGCGTGCTCTTCTCCAGTTTTCCTGGTGGTTGTTGTTTACCCCTGATATTGTGGGTGCTGGCTCGAGATATCGGCGACAGAGTGTTTGTTGGTGTATGTCGGGCAGGTACCCCGATCACGAAACGAGAAATCGAAGACTTTTCGCCCCCGGACGTTTGTGTGTTCGTGGAAAGATTGCACCCCCACCTCCAAGATTTTTCCCGGGTGCTCTCTATGTTCATTCCGCGAGAAGGACGTGGAATGCAACAAGGAGAATACCTCCCTGACCGCCGCCGCTCTTTCGGAGCACTTGTGGCAGTTTGGTTGATTCGCTCATTGCATGAAGAGTAGACGGCCGTACTTGAGTTTGAATACTTGTGTGTCGCCATGTTGGAAAACAAAGTTGGGTATCTCCGTTGTTTTCACCGTTCCGGACGTGGGCAGAAGACTTTTCACATCATGATGGGCTTGTAGCACATGCATTCGATATCCCCTATGCATATGATGAAAAAATATGTTGCTGTTGTTCTGAGCATCGGCCACTCGAACCTATTAAATATCTTTGCGTGGGTTTTATGTAGTAGTAGACCTTTACCTCCCCCAGCCCCAGCTTTTCCTTATCACAGGGTTTATCGTGTGTTGGGGTTTGTGCTCCTCCTGTGCAACTAGCATGCCCCTCATCGGTACACCAGATGTCTGAAGTGATTCGGAGCAGCCCGGTGTGATTTCATGGAGACGAACCCATGCGACAAGCATTTTCCCACGGTCTGTGCCTACTCTAACTACCAATCTCGTGCCTTGCCCCGATTTGAGCAGACCGGGTCGCTAGTGTTCTGCCGGGTGGCGGCGGTGAACAAAGATATGGAAACGGAGCTCACGTGTACCTGTGAGTTTCTGCTTGTGCCACCCGTGTCGGAGGTTTGCAGCCCGAGATGGTGCATGATGTTTACGTCGGATGGGGAATTTGGTCGGTGCTTGCCGTACTAAATAGTGTTGTGAAGTAGAGCGTATCCGAAGGGTTCTGGGGTGATTTTGTGTACTGGTGCATACCCAAGGTACGGTGGTTTCGCTGCCTTGAACACTGCTGGCCAGGTACAACTATTGCGCCGCCCATCATCCTATCCATCTTGCCGTGGGTTTCGAACAGCGACACGAATCTAAACTCGTTTTGGCTGAAGCATGGTTTGGTTCGTCTTTTTTCGTCACCAGTGCGCGTGTTGACCAGCTTCCTGCCCCCATCTTCCGCTCGCTGCCTCAGCATTGATTCGCTTTCGTGTCCCTTCCCGCGCTGGTTCTTGTTTAGCAACACATCACGGCTCCAAGAAGGACTGGATGACGGGACAGTCGACGTTCGGAGAGCTTCGCGGCGGCAAGATGGAGCGGTGTTCCCTCCTCCTTTCCAAGAGCCTTACCAAGCCCGACTGCAGGTACCGTGTTGGCACCGCGCGTTCTTTGGAGGCAACGCGTGGTTCGGCAGTTAAAAAAGTGAAAACATGTCACCTTATATGTATTAAGTTTACGGAAAACCAATCAAGCAAGCTAGGCTGGGGGTCCGTCGGAAAGTTTGCGATTATGTGTGTTCATTTTTGCTCTCGATGATTTTACGTTGCTGGACGTGTGTATTTTTTAGTCATGTTTCTGAGGCGCCATATGGGTATTGACTTTCAACATGGACGAATTTTCCGGTGTTCTTGCTTAGCGTCAACCATGTAGATTTCCAGATCCGTAGCATTGCCACGTTTCACTTTGTTCAATTCTTCCACCTGCGGTGTCTTGTGCACGCCCGCCTCCTGCCTACGTTTGACAGGGTGCTCAAGAGCCTAGCCAAGCACATGCCTTTCGAGCTCGCGGCGGGACTCAACGGGACATTTTGGGTGGACTCAGGTAAGAAGCTTATGTTCCGTAATGGTATCTAAGAAATGAGGCTGGTTCTCAATAACCCCTCCTCTTCCCGTAGACGGCAGTGTAAACGGTAGTGTTCGAGAGGTGAGGAATACTGTTTTTAGGTTCTGTATTTTGTGCAAAACAGCAAATAGAAAGTGGTCCATTCACGTTAGTTTTGAAGTAAAGACGAATAGCTCGCAATCACGATTCAGGTCATGCTAGAAGTTGATATTCGAGACCTGAAAAGCGTGTGCGAGCTACATGGTCGCGTATCTTGCAATCCTGCGCGCCCGGTACAATAGTCACCTTGCTTTTTGCACTCGTTGCTCGCAGGTTCAGAGGCACACACGATCGTGATCTGCAACGCCATCCTTAACTCGGAGGTAATGACGGATGCCCAGACGGACGCCATGGTAGATCGACTGGCGAAGCACATGAAGAAGGGGCTCGCGGCAATGGATACATGACTGAGGCAGCTTCCCTCAGTTTCTTGGGGAGGCGTGCAGCGCTTGATAAGTTTGGTTTGTGGGTCTTATGTAGGGGCATCGAGGAAGGCTTTGTGATTTCCTATGCATGTCATCGCTCATGATTCGAGGACATCTTCCTCCACGTGTTCGAGAGCTTTGGAGGAGGTGGGAGGGTAGCTGTTACCCCCGACGTTGCGCTCGCTTGTGTCGGCTCTTCGGCTACCGGTTCGTTTTTCTGAATCGTGGCGTGCCAGCTCGAATGACATTGATTTTTCAGCGGACTGTTGTCCCTCTTGTCTGCTTGCAGGAGCGCCTCGTAATCGCCTAGTTTTCGGATATTGTGTGGTCCATTAGCGCAATAGCCTATCTCAGAATATAAAAGAGTCATTCTAACGTCGAGTTTGTCCCTCCGTGCCGCGGTTGGGAAGCATATGCTTGTTCATAATCCCGTTGTTGAGCAAATCCAGTTTGTACATAGCAGCTTCATTTCTTTCCGTCGCGAACAGCGCGTGGGATATTGTGGCAGTCGTTGTGTGCCTAACGAGGTGTCATACGCAATTTGAGCACAAGATTGCCGAGTTGTGTTTGCACATGTGTGTGTGCACACGATTCAAAGAAGAACAACCTGCTGTCACGGTGTCGGTATACGCATCCACGGACTCATGCGCATCAGCACGTCAGGAAAGGCTCGGCCGTACAACTCGATCGACGTTGGTCTACACAAATTGAATCCGGAGTGAAGCCGAGTAAAAGTACCGTGTTGTTTGTAGGGCTTTGTTCGACAGAGGGCACAAGCGTGCCAGCGCCACACTCTCAAGCACCCGGCAACACCCTGGCACTTGACTCTCCTGTGATGCAACATAGTCAGTTTTGTCTTTTATTGGAAAAACGCCGCCAGCGGGGAACTGCTCGGTGTACGAAGTACCACGAAACAGCTGGTACGAAGAACGATGGTGAGATCTCCGACATCGATCTCCGTCATCGATCTCCGACATGCACCCGCCCTTGGGGGGAGATCCAGAGCAGCAAGCACTGCGCGGTTCTCTCTTCCTCTCGGTGCAGAACCGGATGCATTGCTTATTGCCACTTGTCTTTTCGTTGCGTGGTCCTCTCAATCACACGGTGCTGTTGTGGTTGCTGGAAGGAACTCCACATCGTGTTTTTTGGCAAGGCGGCGGAATCTCCGTAGAAGCGGCGGATTGGCAGCTTGGGCGGATGCGGAGGTGGACACATTTCACAAGAGGGCCACTTACTTTATCGCATCGCTACCGCCACTACTGCCGTTGCCCAGCCACGCTGGAGAGAGGGGAAATGGCAGAAAAGGCGGAAAAGGAAGCTGTTCCAAAGCTAGTGGTGTTTGATTGCGATATGTGCCTGTGGTGAGTCGGTCATGTTATTCCGCTGCGGACGGATGTCATGGGTGTCCTGGATAACGGCGTTTCGAGAGGAGAGTATTGCTCCGCGCTACCGAGTGCACGTTTGCACGCTCATTCGCACGACGACCTCTCGATCTCTGCGGGGGAGGGCACATGCATTGAGACCATGTCGGTTCCCGATGGTACCTCACCACCAAGTCGCCTTTCATTCGGGTATCATGGCGTGGGTCCTTCAACGCTGCTGTCGTGCAGTCGACTGAGTTTCGCACATGGGTCACTACCACATCGCTCAGCCCTGTTGCGTGTTTCCTGGTTACAGTAGATGTCGTGCTACACCCACTGATAGAGTGGCCGCATCATACGGCTCTCGTTGTGTTGTTTCTCTGTTTGCATATTCGCCGACGAATTTGCAAGCCTACAATTTCAGCGTACAGCAGTAGTACCACAGCAGTAGTATCATCTTGCGCTCTGTTGTACTTCGTCCTTCGAAACCTCTACTTGAACAGCAGTAGTTGATCGCAGCGGATATACGTGTTCGCCTTTGAGACTCGACGAAAATGCTCTTGTGTCGGGTAAGAACGAACGTGAGCAGCGGTGTAATTTTGACAGGCAGGATCGAGACAAATGGCAGCCACCCCAAAGAGAAGCGAAACAGCAGAAGTATGCATAGTCGTGTGTACAGCAGTGTGGACTCCTCTACGTGATGGAACTACAGTACTACAGTACAAGACAGCCGGTGCCTCATCTCTCCGATGCAAGACATGCCTCTGAACGCACGGCCAGCTCACCAATGCGTTGCTTCCCTACCGGATAGTGAAAGATTATTCACTTCAACACAAAATGGTCGCCTCCCTCTCCACCAGGGAACCCGAAATGTTCGAGCTCCAACAGTCCCCGACCCGATTGGACGAGGCAACAAACTCGGTCGTGGCCGGCACTGACCGCGTCAGGCTTTTCAAAGGCGCGGAGCAGGCCCTTCTGGAGTTGAGCACACAGGATAGGTTCTCCGACACCCGGGTCGCGGTGGCGTCATCGACGTCCCGGAAGAAGTCGGCCATGGCATGCCTTCGGCTGTTTCAGGTATAGTAACAGGAGGCAATCATCGTGCTGCGCGCGCTCTGGTTGCCACGTGGTGTCTACACGTCGTTGCGAATGCGTTGGAAAGGGAGGCCTGGCTGAAGACACGACCACAGACCCAAGATGTGATGTTGTCTCGTTTAGCGGCTTTCACAGTGATCATGCCAACATGTGGTCGTCGGATCGTTGCATTCCCTGCAATGGCAGCCGGGAAGATCGGGCGTTGACATATGTATTTACAGTGTTGCCGCCGGGACGTTTGTTGGCAATGCGCGTGATTCGTCACCAAGGTAAAGGTTTTTGAAGTGTTTGGTTTTCATGTCAAATGGTTTGTCGCGTCGCAAAACGAAGAGTATGTGGCCCTCTTGGAGTGGCCAATCCTTCAAACACACCGAGCCTTTTATTGTCCGGTCGGTGACCAAAACGTGCATTCAGGGATGTTCGCGCGTGATTGGAGTCGGTATACTTACTACTACGCATTTTTCGCTTTTCGGAGTGGGTTCATCATGAGAGCACCCCGCGTCATCAAGGGGTCGGGCAAGTCAAGACGATAAAGCGTTGGTTCATCAACCTTTGCTAAGCTTCTGGGCAAGGAGAAACTCGCTCGTTTACTGTGGGGTACACTACTTGGAGTGCGGCGCAAAATGTGGAGGTTGTCATGCCTAGAGTTTTTCTTGGGGACCTCTGCCGATGCGGTTCTCAGCGTGCCTCCGCACTCGCTGACGTGATTGGTGACTGGGTGACACCTCCCGTATCTTCCAGCTCCGCTCACCCCCGTCGTTTCACCAACTCGCTCTCGTGTCCCCCACCCTCGACATCGGCCGACCCGCCGTTCCCGACGTCTGCAGGTATCCCCTGGGGTCACGGCCAACGACGTGCTCTCGTACCGAGAGATCTACCCGGACAACAAGGGGACGCACTTCAAGAGCCTACGAAAGGCGTCCGGGATCGCCTACGAGGACATGCTGTTCTTCGACGATTGCAACTGGGGTGACAACTGCAGGGACGTTGAGTGGGCGTGCCCCGGAGTGGTGACGACCAAGACGCCGAACGGCTTGACGCCGGAGAAGTGGGCAGAGGTGAGTGGGTCAGTCGTACGATCTGTATTTTTCCGTCCCTGTGTTGCGTTTGATTTCATGTCGACTGCGGGGCTGCCGGGGTAGAACTTGGTGCGTCTGGGCGCGACAAAAGATGCAACAAGGCTCTCGCTAGCCCGTTCGCTGTGGCTGTATTCGTGTATGCGTGGTTACCAGGGCAGCACACACCCGTGGGTTGGTATGGTACGCCAGTGCCACGCAACCGGACCAGAAAAAAGTGTACATGGTGATATGACTCGCTCAGGACCACATGAGCACGAAACGGACGTGGTGTATGAGCCTTCAGTGTACTTGGAATCCCCCAAGACCAAAATGGGTCCACATACACGAGAAGCTACATGTAAGGCAACACGTCCTCACTGGTTTCACCTCCGCGATAAACTTTCTTGTAAATGCTGGGACTTTTTTGGGTCTCGTTCGGTACACGGACAAGGTTCGACTGCGACATCCCAGGTGAGGCACTGCGCCCTCGGTATTGCGCGTCCATGTGGTGCGTGACTCGATGACAGACCAACCCTACCTTTTTTCCCGTGGTACCGCTCTCAAGGATCGCACCGCTTGCCTATCCCTGTCCGCTGCCGCTCCTCACCCGTTCGTCTTCTCGAACGAATCTCGCTCTCGCCAGGGACTCGCCAAGTTTGCCGAAACGAAGCGATAGAGGCGCGCCTTGAGCAGAAGCAACGGAGGGGACGGGTTCTCCGTTCCCCGCCCCGTGATGACCTCGTTGTCCACGTTTTGGTAGCGTTCATCTCGATCGCACCTTCGCTCCATCGTTGTCATCTCCACCACTCATTGTCTCGTCTCGTCCAAGACGATCGCCCGCTTGGGATGAGTACTTTTACGGTAGATCGTGTGACTAGACAAACGCAGTGATGCCGCGGGTTCGAAGACAATGGTGGACATCTATTGTGTATGTGGGGCATCATCTCACCCCAAATTTTGAAGTATGTTGATGGAAGGGCTGAAAGACGCCTACAGTGGGTGGAGGAGAGCGGGGGTTGCGCGAAATGCCGGGCACACGCTGTTGACACGAGCGGCAGGAAGTATCAGTTGAAAGTTAGTTACCCTTCCCTAACACCTCTGCAAATGCTTGATGTGCACTGCAATTTTGACAGCATTGAATATTGCCGAACACCAGTTATGGCTTTTCCAGATTTCTTGAAGATTGCGACCTCGGTGAGTCTAGTTTACAACTGGTTGTGGCCGTGTCCTGCGTATCTGCAAGGATGCCACATTCCACTCGTGTATCGCGCTAATATTTTCTGATTTATATTTTCTCAAGTGTTGCCACGACGAAAAGTCGTTGATAGTGAGAGGTTAAATTAGCGGAAGCACGTGCTTGTCGCAACAACTGCTTGATGATGTTTTATGTGCTCTTCGCACTCAGGAGTACAACGCACAAACCACGTTTCGATATCACGCCAGTGTACGGTACTCGCCTGCCCCCCAGTATGTGGTTGCAAATGGCGAGGTGAGACTGGCCGGCGCGAATTGGGCATGTGATATACCGGCGAGTAGCGGCGTAATGGATACCGTGTCCTGGTCTTGCCCTGGAATGGGGCCTGAAGGAATCCTCGGTGTCTCGATACGAGTCTTCCACGATTTGCTAAATAGTTCGGTGCGGGGCAGCGAGACGATGGCATGGCCGGTGCAAACCCGGCGGTGGAGATGTACAAGGACAGAATCATGCGCTTGATTGTCTTGGTGTTCTTTTGGTGGCTCTTCCCTTTTGTTTTCTTTTGCTTGTCCTCACGCGTGCAAGCGATGGACTTTGACGTTCTTTATCTATCTTGTGCGAGGTCTGACTCACTCTGGGTTATATTTTCTCTGTTCTTGTGTAGCTTCTGCCTATTTAGTCGAGACTATCGCATTCGAATGATTTTTCTTGCCCCTTTACGTGGTCATTGATCTTTGAAAGTGTTCGGGCTGGCAGTTGGACCAGACGGCTAATAATTGAAGTACTTACGGAGATAGGGATGGGTTTTATTTTCAAGACAACCTAAAAAGCAACGACATTACCCAATGTTTAAGTTCCATCAACGGTGCTTCGTATGATAGAGATCGTTAGAGCAACAATAGAACTGTCCTACCGTTCATTATTCCATCCTCACACAACCCCGGTGGTCCAATGGATACAGTAGCCACAGGTTGTGGGTTGACCCACATCTATCTCGGGAGCGAAAAACATGCAGCTCTGCCGCGGATATTGCGGCTATTTCGGGAGCGAGAATGCCAGCAAAAGAGAGGGAAGTCGTTGTGCCGATGATGAACGAACCCACTTGTTGTTTGGCAAGCACCGTACGGGGATGGTGGGACGACGAATAATCCTGTTTTGTGTACGTGCCTTCTTCCTGTGTCACCCCCGCCTGGAACACCCAACCAACCCCGTCAGGCGATGAAGAACGTGTGTGTTGTGGATTTCTCACGTATTAACAACCGTAACCCCACGTACTGTGTACTGCTGTGCCTAAGTCTCCGGCAGCAGTGGTGCCGGGGAAAATAGAAAATAGTGGGCAAATCGCGGACAAAAAGCGTGCACGAAGTACGAAAAGAGACATGCAGACTCGCGCCAGGATAGGCGGGACAAGAATACGCACGGCATGTTGCAAATTGTTATGTGCACTCTTCAAGGAGACGATTACGAGAGGAGAGCGGTCGATAATCTTGTGCCTGTAAATAAATGTACGTAAACGCACATTCAAACTCTACCATCTGGCAGCCCAAAATATATTTTCGCAAACAACACACGTCATCAGCGAACATTCAGTGTGGGTTATTACAATGCTTCCACCGCTTTGACTCAAGACGCGATCGGTAGCAGCGTGGTAGTCGCAGGCCGAGCTGCTGGATGAAACCGACTACCGTATATGACACAAGATAACACACCCCCTGGACCGATTTTCAAAGCTCGATTACTCCACGACGAAGAGGATGCATAAATGAAACAATACGTTTTCGAACAGCTCTCGACGAGACGGTTCCAACGCCGCCGTTTTCGGCGCTGTGACTCTTCCTGCTGTTGAGAAATCGAGCTTTGAAAATCGGCCAAGGGGGTGTGTTATCTTGTGTCATATACGGTATGTCTGCTGCTATGACGCCAACACCATCTCGGACATTCTCATGAACAATACATATCTGTGGCGCCCCGTGCCCCCCCCCCCCTACATCCCGCTTCTCCCTTCTTGCGGCTCCCCCTGCAAGCTCTGTGTGCTGCTCCGTCTGCTTGTGCAGCAACACACGTGCCACCTGAGGTCGCTGTGTGCATGCAGTGCGGGTCAGGGTGATCCAGACGACAAGACAGGAGAGCGCACGAAAGTTCTCTACCCTGATCTGCCATGAGCGGAAAGGGCAAAGGGAGGGTAAACGTGAACCCTGAGGATGGCACCATTCAAATGGAGGAAGAGGAGGAGGAGGAGGTATCAGGGTTTGAACATGACCAGCGGGGGGGAGGTGGAGCCAGTCCGCTCCCGAGAGAACAAGGCGCCGCTGCCGGGCCTGCAGCAGCGCCTATTGCAAAGACCAGCCACCCCGGCGAGGGGAAAGGAAAACAGGACGATGGCGAAGGAGATGCGGCCGGAAAGGAGGGTGAAGGTTGCGGCAGTGGGGAGGGTTCGCCGGGTGGAGATGGGCATAAGAAAGAAGAAGGGCACGAGGAGGCTGGCGCCGGGGCGCTGGGGTCAGGATCCAACAGGGAGAATGCCTCGGAGACGACGAAAAGGGCACTGGGTGAAGAGCACCAGCCTGCGGTTAAAAGGCAGAAGAAGACGCAGAAGAAGCTGAACACGTGCTTGATCTGCCGCGAAGAGGACGACGGCCTTTCGAGGCGGTTGTTCATGACGGATTGCTGCCACCTGATCGCACAGTGAGCGTGGAGGATCTGTTTGTAACAGGATCCGTTGTGTATCTGTTGTGTATGTGTTGCGCGTTGGCGAGTCTCCTTGAACAGAAAAAGGCCTACTTACATAACATGGGCAACAGCTGTGTGGGCGTTAAGATTCGTCTTTTGTATTTATCTAGCTGGTCGCTGTGTTAGCTGCCTTCGCGGGTGTCGTCTTCGTGCCTGTGCTTTCGTGGTGGCTGTTTCGGCGTTTAGAATAACATGAAACAAATTCTTTTTAGAAAGTAAACATAACCTCACAGAAAGACTACCCGTTCGAGATATAACCTCGGTCGAAAGGGTTGTGGTGAAGTCTTTTCAGTAAGTGGATTGAAACCGACTGGAGACTGGGCTTATTTTGAGTTTGTGTAAGCCTTACCTGAGTTATCAGCGATGCCAGTTGGTGCCATGAACAAAAACTTCTGTATAATTATTTGTATCTGCTTCTCTTTGTGCTTTCGCATGAACCGCGGTGCAGGCTATGTGCATACAGCAGTCTACAGCAGTACATGCACTGCTGTCGAAAACATGTACACTGACTGGTCTCGACTGGTCTCCACACGCCCGCCCATGTCCAATCCGATTGATCTGAACGTACATAGGCGCTCAACCCGTTTGGTCGGTTTCGGGGGACGCTCTCTTCAATATACAGGGACGTATACTTTCAGAGACGGCGCTATCTTTACCCCCACTCCGGATGGATGTCTTGTACACTTTCAGAGATTGGCGAGTCTTGGGCCCACAACATGTTGTCACGAAGTGGTAATGCTGTTAACAAAGGTGTTGGGCGCCTCGTGCCACCCCCGAAACTTCGAGCGATTGGATGACAAGGGTCAATATTGTGCAGGGTGTAGGCCAGGCAAAAGTCGATGAAAACACACGCACCACCTACAGGGGCTTCGTTTCCTGTTTACGGTTGCCTGAGTCTACTCCCACAAGCTTGCATTGGTAGTGCCATCGTTGAATGATGATGGCCACCTGGCTGTGGTGTCATGTGCACGACATCTGATCTGTAGAAAACAACGTTCTAAAAGCGTAGAACGATCGTTGAACGAAGGACAGGAAACCCTGCCCGTCGTGTGGAAGATCAAGAAGTATTTTCGCAAGAAGTGAATTTTTTTCATTTTTTTGGCGCCTCGCATGACCGCCGAAGCGAGCGACTCAAAGGCAAAGATATTGCGGTGTGTTGTTTAGGTCGGCGCGAGGACGCAAGAACTGAGAGTTTGTTGACTAATTCTGCGGGCACGATACATGCCGCTAACTACATCCTGCTGATCATTGCACGGGCAATCAGAAGGATTTGCATTGCATGGTGCGAAAGGTCTACCATCAAACCCAATTGCTGTACGCTCCACCGCGGGTGGCCGAAGCCGTTCTGAGCTTGTCTCTGGTTTCCTCACGCGTACATTTGCAGCGGCGCTCGCAGCTAGCTAGCTACTAGCTCCAGTAGTTGTAACCAGGTGCCTTCTTGTTTGACGTTCCGAAAGAACAGCAACGGGTTTGTCCACCTCACCGAAGATCGAAGTACAACACCCAAGTGGCTGGACATTTCGCGAAGTCACAAACTGAGCCATGGATTGACAAACAATTGGTGCTCGGTATTCAAACGCGTACATGCGTATTGCATACTCGGCGTATCAAACGAAGAGGCGGCGTTGTGGTCCAGACCCAACGCAACACTTGTCTCGCTTCCCTATCTCGTTGGGCGTCATGTCGAAGTTTCTCTGCCTGCCGTTCGAGCTGTCCAATCTACACTGTAGTAGCTTATGCACCCAACTGCTTTACTCGGTTTTTTCGTGTCCACTGTTGCTGACTCTGTGTTTCTCTGTGGTCTTGCCTCGTTTGTGTCATCAGCGAGCAGTGCTTCCAAGAGTGGAAGACACACAGTTCAAGGTGCTTCGCGTGCCCGAGGAAGACTCAGACCCGCCGCAAGGATAACAGATACCTCAGGAACACAGTGAGTAGAGAACGTTCTTGGAGCAGGCTGTGTCGCGTTGCCTGGAGTGCTAAAGTGCGATATTTTGAAACGGCGGTCACGCACCCGCTCTCCTCAACTGCTGTCGTTTCTGTTGGGTGTGGACTATTTGCCGGGTCTGTGAAGCAAAATACCCGCAATCGATGACGACAGCTGTGCGCCTAGAGCTGTCTGCAGTTGGCGACATCTCTTGGCACGAGTACTTTCGATCCCCCCACATAATCATTGCTAGCTTGTACTCTTGTTGAAAGATGGTGAAACACGCCGGGGTCTCTATCACGCGTATCATATACAATCACTGGAAAACCCAATATTTGTGTCCCCGTCGGCCAAATTGATGTAGTTGGGTACTTGGACAGGGAGTTTTTTTTATCGACCCCATTCTGTGTGATGTCGGCCCGGCGACTCCCATGTGGTGGAAATCCGTGCGGGGGGTGCAGAGATAACGGTGTCTGTGTGCCATTGTTTCCACCAGGTTGCACATAGTGCTTTTTAGACCGACTCGAGCTTGGGTCCGATTGACCACCGCAAGTTGCTGGTGGACTACGAACAGAACCCACAAGATGATTGACAAGCGCTCGCTAACGCTCATGCGATCCCACACCCTTGTGACTCCTCCCACCGCCACTTACGGTGATCTTCTACGAGTGTCCTCGCTTCTGCGCTCCCCAAAGCGAGCAGCGGGGACATCGACCGCCCAGATCAGCCATTTGGTCGTTTGAGTTGTTACAGCTTTTCTCGGGGGGCCCCTTAGCCTTCCACACAGCGAGCACAGTCAAACTACATCATGTTTGACACAGGTCAAGTTTTCAGATTTCACCACGCGTGAGCGGTGTATGGGTTGGTGAGAGAATGGACGCCAGGCTTGTTGAGTGCTTGAAGGGCGAACAACACTGAAGCACATCTTGCGTCTCGTTCGGTCTTACCATTTCGCATGTAAAGCAAGCTTCGCAAGTACTTCTACTCCGGATTTCAACGTGTGCCCTTCGACGGGTGTGTTGCGTGCGCGCCATGAATATCAAGCGCCCATCCCGTTTGTTGTGTTCTACAAACACCCCGTCCAATATTCATTTTTGCCCCGGAGATAGCCCCTATCTCACACGAACCGCTGCCACTGCCTGCGCTGCTTATTCATCCCTCGAAGCACCTGGCTTGCTTGACCGCCGCCAACCTACCCCGTGTGCTATCAACACACTCTGCTTTTTTTGTTGTGTATACATAAACCCATGTTGATCGCCAACACAGGTGATCTCCAACGACGTCGATGTGGAAGAGGACACTGCAGAAGAACGCATCGTCAGCGATAACTTTGGAGAAGAGGTAAGCTTTCACTTCTGTTTGTGCATACTTCGCAGTGTATTGTTAACGAAGGGGGGTGTGACGTGAACTAAGACAACAGCGGTGCTAGGCATCCCCTCGCTGCTGGTGCTGCCGGTGCTTGGAACGACCCTTGGACTGTCGCGATGTCGGTGGCCACGTACACCCACGATACTGTATCGCTCGAAAACGAGATGATTGCTCTGTTGTCGAAATATCGCGTGCACCATCGGTTACCTTGCTAAGGCTATGGTTGAGGTTGGCATTACGATTTCCCGAGGCAGCTCGTGTAGGTCTACAGCATATGGCGCTCAGGCCATAAATGGCACATTTTCGATACGGTACTGCACCAAAATGCGAAATACCCGTCACTGCCCCCCCCCGCCGTTGATGTTTCTCTCTCAGTGGTACATGCGTGCGAAAAATGAGTTCGCACAAAATCGGGAGAAGGAGCGAGCCGAGGAAGAGCGCCAAAGCCTCGCATGTGTCTTGGATGTTCTCGCAATGGAGGCGAAAACAAACAACGGAGAAGCACGAGCCAGTGGAGGAACCCAGGATGAAGGGGGAGGGGGAGCGTCAGCGGGTGGCCCTTTGTTGTCCGCTTTCACAAAGGCGCAGATCGCTCAGCAGGCGGCACTGCTGGTGAGTTGGACGTACGTGTGTGGTCGCTACGGCCCCTCGACAAGGTTCTCTCGGTTTGGAGTGCTTGCCCATATGTCGCTGCTGTACAAATGGCGCGTTTTTAATTGTGTGGCTCCTAGTCGAATGCGGCGAACCGTTAATCAACCACCTGCAAGCTGCTTGTTAGGTCTCAACATTCCGATATTTGGCTCTGTATCTTAGTCAGCACGAAACCTTGTTGAGGGTGCTCATTTGGTTGTCTGGCAAGGTGCTACGTGAAATGGGTCGAGATTCACATGGGACCCCTGACACCCCGGGTACCTAGCGAGAGTACAGAAGCCACCTCCTCCGCTGCGTATGTTTTGCAGTTACTGGTCGTGGTTGCCTGCCAAGTCTCAGGGTCTGGGCGAAGGGGCTATCACAGTGCTTTCACTTTCGTGCGGTACGCACCCTTACGTCGGACCCGCCCCGGATACCACGTAGACAGCAGTGTGGTACAGCCCTATAATAGTTACGTTGTGCAGGCGATGAACTCACGAATTGGAACGAGGCGTTGAATGCTGACACAGACAGTGTGTAAATACCGGAAACGCCTAGCTCACGCACGTTCCTATACGTGTGTTTCAAGCGGCACCAACGTGCCAGTGTGAAGCATGTGTCCTACATGTGGTGGGTCGCCCCGACGCAATCTGTTCTCGTCGAGATGGTGTGCTTGGTTGTTTTTTGCTGCTGCTGCTGCTGCCCTCGCATTTCGGAATCGGGTTTGACCCCTGGAAAATGCATCCGAAACCTCCTCTTCCGTACTCTGGGAGGAAATAAATACTGTGGGCACAATAGCTTGCGAAAACATGAAAACAAACTACATTGTTTGGCCCACAGAATCTCTCCACTCACGAATGCATAACAATTCCTAGCGTAGATAATCAGATGAAAGAAATCAGTATGGGGTGGAAAAGGTTGGTGGGCCCGATCGCTTCAACCACGAAGCTGTGTCAAATACAATAGATGGGGCTCAAGAACACTTGCCGAAAGTACAGTGCATGGAAAATACCTAAGAGTCTCGGTAATTGCAGTGAAACATGCAGTTTCAACCGCGGTGCAAACAACGGCTTCGCGACCAGACCTCTTCATGTGCCAAAGCTACCTGTGTGGACGAATGACCCTGCAGCCTTGGATAAAGATTGCAATACATTTCCGCAAGGGATAGTCAGATGATGGATGGGTATTCTCCTTTGTTTTGGCGCGAGCTGGCTATTTGCTGCCAAGGAAGCCGTGCACGAACAATGCTCAAGCCAGAGAGGGGTGGTTTCACGTTTTTAGCGTAGTCGCCTGCTGGAAGTCCGTTGGACTTTGCTGGAGGTCTTAGAGTTAGGGTTTCTACTCTCTAAAGCCGATCTCTACCGCTGTGGAAAGTTGCACTACGTAACCGTGAAGAAAAAATGTTCGTTTATTTTTCGGATCTGCAGCATCTGCAACCCTGCTTCAGGAAATGTCCCAGGACCCTGTTTCTGGGCTCGTTGTACGTTCTTGCGACAGGGGCAACGGTCTTGCAAGGCCAACCCCCATATATTGTACCTTGAAAGTTCAGCTCCATGCTGCACTCCAGGTTTTCAACGTAGAGGTGTTTACTTCGTCTTCCCCATCTCGCGGGAATCGTTATCCTTGCAAGTCGACAGTTTCAGACAGCAGGGCCTACTTTTTTACGTTGGGGGGTTGTGCGTTCGCACTGAAACTGTTTGTATGACACGGGCAGCTGCTGACGAAATGTGCTGTTCCAGCCAGCAGCATCGGCTGCACCGCAGAAGATGCAGCTGCTAGTTGTGGTACACGGGACGAAACCGACCCACCTGAGTGCTTTCTTTCGAAGGTCTTTGTGCCTGCCTGCCAAACGCCTGGCCCTCCTTACACGCTCTTGTCTTCCCAACCTGCCCGCGCGGCCGACGCAGGCCCCGTGCGACGATGAGAGGATTGCCCGTGAGCTTGAGGAGGCTGACCGGGCTCAGGCTGAAGAATTTTCCCAGCAAGCGAAGAAGGATGAGGACCTGGCGCGAGAGCTGCAGCGTCTAGACGAAGCCGAGGCTGAGGAGAAGGCTGCCGCGGACGCGATAGCTCGCACTAGGCGGCCCCGGGCAAAGAGCAAGGGATCCGGAGGGCGGAGCGGCCATGATGCCAGAGGCGGCGGCGAGGGCGGCGGCAGCGATGCAGGCAAGGGGAGCGGTGGTGGTGCAAAGAATCGGGGGCGGTTGCCGACGGGAGGTTGCCGGCGAAGCGGTTCTGCTTCCTTGCCACCGGCGCTTGCAGCCGACGGTTTCGGCGGCGCGGAAATGGAGGGGGTGGAGGGCACGTGCACGGGGGGCGGCGGCAGTCGACCGAGTGGGAGCGGGGGCAGCGGGGCTAGCAAGGCTGCCTCATCTTCATCGTCGGAAACGAAGGATACACAGATGAAGAGGATGAAGACGCAGCAGGAGGAGAAGAACAAGAAGACCGAGAAGAGTGAGACAGGGGACGTCGACGGCGGTGCTCGGCGTTACCTGGACTCTACAGGTCTGACGTCAGATGAGGAAAGCATCGGCGACGATGAAACCAACGACGCAGATTATGTAGACGCTGAGGAGAAGAGAGAGGTTAGGAGGAAGAGGGTGAGGTCCACGCCTCCCAAGCATGGACCTAGAGCATCAAGCGCAAGCCCTTCCACTAGCACAAGCAGCCCTTCTGCTCGCGCTCGTACGAGCAACCCGACCGTTCGCCCGGCCAGCAGCCCTGGTGATGGCGGCGTTGGCGGCGTCGATGTTCGGCAGGGGAGAGGTGGAGGAGCGTCCGGTTCTACAACGGAGAACGACGGCTGCCGGGGTGATGACGATAGCGTCCTAGGCGGTACTGCCAGAGGGGCCGAGAGAAGGAGCGGGGGCGGTGCCAACGGCGGAGGCGGTGGACCACTTGTCAACGGCAACGGCAATGTCAGTACCGCTTCAAGCATCGGCGGGTTCACACCTACTGTTGCTGTCTCCGACTCTGCCGTCTCATCTGCAGCCGGACGCGTAGCTTCTGTCAGTTCCAGCAGTGCACGGGTTGCGGCGAAGTCGAGTCACTTAGATCTCGGAATTGATCCAGACCAAAAGGTGGAAAAGGAAGAAGATTCGCGGGACCCCGGCAGGAGCGAGGTCATTAGGGCTGGAAGCGGAGGCGGACAGAGTGGCAAAAGAAAGGGGGCCGGAGGCAGTCCAGAGGGAGGGGTGAACGATACGAACGGTTGTGAGTTCAGCAATGCGAACGGCAGCAGTCAGCGATCGCAGACCCCTGATTCTGGGTCTCGATTGAAACAGACCAAAAACACGAAACCGCGGCAAAGCAATGGCGGCGGGAGTGCCAACGGGGGCAAAGGTGGCAGCGGGAGTGTCAAGGGGGGCAAAGGGAGTGCCAACGGGGGAAAAGGTGGCAGCGGGAGTGTCAACGGGGGCAAAGGTGGCAGCGGTAGCGCGAGTCGCAGGAACGAAGAGACCGGTACCAAGCGACGACCGGATGCGCCTGGATTTGCTTCAAACGCAATCAAGACCAAGACTACTCCGAAGCCGGGCAAGACCGGTAAGGGCGGTGGGTCTGGTGCCATTGGCGGTGGTAGCCATCACGCCGTTAGCGGCGGTGTGAGCGAGTGCATTGTCAGCGGGAGCGTCCGGAAGCCGCTGGTGACGCCCGGAATTCCTCCAAGCTCGGACAATACCAAGATTACTACTACGAAGCGGTGCAAGACGGGCAAGGGCGGTGAGGCCGGTACCGTTGGCGGCGGCAGCAGCAGCAGGCCGTCGATGTCACCTGGATTTGCCTCAAGCGCAGATAACCCTGATACCACTCTGAAGCAGGGCAAGAGCGTCAAGGACGGTGAGGGCGGTACCCTTCGAGGTGGCAGCCATGCCGGGGGCAAGGGTGGCAGCCACAGCGGGAGAAACAGGGACGAAGAGACGGGTGCCAAGCGGCCGCCAGAGACGCGCAGCGATGACACCGGTAGCGGTGGTAGCGGCGAGCGCGCCAACCGGGTCGTCGTCCACAAGCAGCGTCCATCAAACACGGACGAGGCCAAGATTATCACGAAGCAAGACGGCGGCGGTGGTGGAAACGGCAGTGGCGGCGATACCGAGGATGAATTTAGCCTATTGGCGAACAACCGAGGAGTAGCAGGAGGAGGAGTAGAGCAAGCCAGCGGGCCGGGTGGTGGAAGCAAGAAGAACGGCGATAGGGAAATCGATGAGCCGCCGAACACGGAGGATTCAGACGTGATTCGTGACGATGACCCGGAGGACGACATCTGCGTGTTGAACATTTCCGTTGACGGACGTGCGGAGAGCATCCTTTCCCCCAACAGAGCGGCAACGCCCCAGGTAGGGCCAGAGGTAGCAGCGGGTGTGGCGTTCAAGCCGATGGCGTCAGAATCGACGTTGGTCCGGGCGTCGAAGGCAGCCACCACGGCAGCGGTGAAAACGGCGTCTCGCCGCCGGCACGTGATGGGGGGAAAGCAGCCCAAGAAAACAAAGGAACAAGGTGGGGGCGCTGACGGCGCTGGAGGCCGTGGTCTGCGCGCTTCCGCTGCTGCTGCTCGTGGTGGTGGTGGTGGTGGTGGTTGTGGGGGTGGGGGTGGGGGTGCTGCTGCTGGTGGTGCTTCTGGTGCTGGTGCTGCTGCTACAGGGGAGTCTCCTGGTGCGAGGGTGAAGCGTGGAGGACGTGGTGAACTGTCTTGTTCCGACTCTGATGGCGCCGCGGATGGAAGGTGGGGTACTTGCGTCCAGTGGCCTTTTATGAACTTGTTCTACGTTTGTGGGGTCCGGGAGGTGACAAACTCTGTGGTTTTACCGTATTTTAGGGTCGGGGACAATGGGGACGGGAGATGCGGTCTTCATCTGTTTCCGAGATTCGTTGTTGTTTGTCTCGTATTGCCAGGCAGTGCTGGCCCTCCATAGGGTTTTGCAAGCCACACCCGAACCTTGCCGAATCAGCCAGCGCGTAGTGGCGATACGATACCCAATATCCGCGGTCCCAGGTCAGCGCTGACAATATCGAGTTTAGAGTGCGGCCGACAAGATGAGTAGCGACGCCCTGGTGGAGCACACCGATGTTTCGGCAAGACAGAGTCGGCCAGAAAACTGCATTTTCGCCACCTTTTGTGGCACGAATTGCGTGTTTTCGGTAAACTGTAACGCCCAGGATAGACGTTATTTTCTTAAACCTCATCTACCACCCGCGAGCCCACCTTGATCAGACTCCGCATATACTTCGAATATTTATGTCTCATGACCAGTTTCCTACCAAGGTCTTGTTCAATTTTTCTAACCTCCCCGGTCCCATCAGCGCGCAACAATCCTACTCTGTTCCGTGATTTCGAATCTACCCCATCACGAGACTCATCCGTCCGTGTGGTTCTGATATCAGCACTCCTCTGCGTGTTCTTTTCTTGCCATTGTTTTGGCGGCAGGCGCCAAGGTGACCAGGGAAACTCCTCCATTGCACGGGCGCTCCCGGCAGACGTGGAGGTTTTCGATTTGACGATTGGCGATGACTGAGCGTGGCGATGATTAGACTGGGCGTGGCTGCCGTTGCTGCCTTGTCTCTCGATCAACATTCCGGCGGGGGCACGGGCATAGCGAACAGAGGTTTCACACCCCGTGACGGATTATTGTCGGCTTTGTAGCGACGTTGTTGACTTGACATTCGCCTGCGGTAGGGCCAGTGCTCAGGTCGAAGTTTAGCCGGCCACGCATGGGCCGCGCACGCTGAAGCCTCGGGTAGCGACGTCTTTGTCAGAGCTGGAAACTGGAAAGAACGGGGGTCGTACGGCCGAGGGAGATCGGAGGAAAACAATGCCGTCGTGCTTTCGGTTGGTTGTTGAGGATGGGAACACAGGAGCAAGCAAGAGCTGGGAGCTCTGCTGTTGGGGTGGCGTGTGTGTGTGAAAAGTTGTTGCTATTTTGTTTTCTAATTTATGGTGTTGGCGGGAGGAGGGCGGAGGGGCTTTCAGCACCGTGGGTATCGTGTGTGTGTGTTTGTGTGAGTGGTGTGTGCCCATTTTTTGTATCGTCCTGCAGCAGGCTGTGAGTGCATACTGGGTGCCTCCCATCAATGAAACCGGCAATGGGTGTGTCATGTCGATGGCCAACGCTCTCTTGTGAGTTTGTGTTGCGGTCGTCACGCATGTGGTCTTGAGAGCGGATGCTGGGTGGTGCTGTCTAGCTGTGCCGGTTTTGATCTCGAGACAGGTGATCTGGAGACAGGTGATCTGGAGACAGGTGTGGTTGTCGTGCCGGTTGTGGTTCTGTTGTTCGATCCCACTCGTTATTTTGTGTACTTTCCTGCGAATCACATAGACCAAGCGTCGACGAAAGTCAGATGCTGCAATAGAACAAAGAGCACCAGTCCCTCCCTACCAGCAGCGTGATCTTTGCAGCGCACCAAACCCCGAGATTGCCACGGCCGGTTCTGTTGTAGTGATGGAGCAGGCAGACTGCTACGGAAGGTAGATGTTGCATTTTAGCTACCATTTAGTAACTTTGCTTGCCGCCACGGACGTTGTGCTCAAGGCGTTGCGGTCGTTGGCGCATCGGCGACTTGCTTCTTGCCGCCCTCTGCGGCGACGTTTGCCTCGTTGGCGTTGGTTCAGGTGTTTGTGAACGCAATCGGTTCTGTCATGTGGTGTCTGTTTGCCGCTCCATACAAGCATGGCGTTGTTTTGAACGATAGTGTACGATTGTTGTTGTTGATGTCTTTGTCTTGACTTGTGTGTGCGTATTTAACATAATGTTGTACGATGTGTGCTTGTGTGTTCGTTGTCATATCATCGCGTGATTCAATTTTCATGTCATTTTTTGCGCACTTTATTTTTTCTGCGCAATGTATGACGCTGTATTTGTATTCTCGTTGGAATGTAGACTGTGCCACATTTGAATCCTTTTTGGAGGTGAGTGCGAGGCGGCGGAGTGCTCTTCAGTGTTTTTTGTTCGTATAGGTCGCCCACGAAAAAGTTGGAAGACGTCAAGCACACGTGATTCTGAGAGGATGGTACTAATGTATAAAGAGGAACGGGGGTTGTTTGGGTTTGGACGGACACGGTGTTGTCATCGTCTCGGCAACGAGCAAGACTTTGCACCCTTTGCCCAGTGTTCTCCAAACGGCTCGGTGACACGGACGTGAGGCCATATGGGTGTATGTGCGTGTAGAACGGTTGACGTTGGTGGCGGAGCAGGGATATGGGTATCGGTAGTTGGCAGAGTTCCTGTGGAAGACAAACCAGCGGCGAAAAGCTGCACCGGAAGCAAGGGCCAGGTGTCTTGGCGAATGTTGAAACACAAACAAGCACGATTCTACGGACGTTCCAGGTACTTGAACGTGTCACCACTACATGCTTGCCAAATCGGCATCATTGGCTGGCGCGTGTGTGCTTCACATGCAATTTTCACACAATCGTGGTTCAAGCCTTTGACGTACCCCGCGAAAGTGATACCGAGAGCGCCATCGACGGCTCGTCTTTCATAAGTTCTTTTGAGTGCGTGGCGCATAGCCTGAGAAGGCACCAGGACACATGCATAGGTAAAAACAGGTGTAGTCGCCACAACCACGGACTGAGCTCAGCCGAAGATGGAATACCTAAACCACGGGGAACTTTCTCCTTGGCAGACAGAACATCTGACAAAGGCCGCAATGCCCCTTGAGAACGCCCCGGGGGCGGAGTTGTTGTTGTTGTTGTTGTTGTCTTCACACTAAAAGTCGATCCGGTCTCCCCTCAGTACCTTCTGATGTCCGTCGGTACTGGTCCAACTGACGCGGACGCCTTCCGTGGTCACAAGTCAACTACGCACAAAGAGGGGGCACACCTTTCTAGGAAAATAAAATAAAGGACCCCAGAAAGAGTCCTCCGAGGCGCGATTTGTTTTTTACCCGACCAAACGAAAAAGAAAACCCACCGTGATACAGACGATGACCCCAGGTCAAGAAATACTCTTAGAAAAAATGAAGTTATCACAGATTGACCACCTGGTTCGGGACAACGCCCCAATCCAAGGGATACAGGCGGTGTTATTTTCGTGATGGAACGACCCGTGGCAATCTCAAAGGGAAATGGGACAACCGTTGCGGAAACATAAAAACGCCTCGAAAAGTCCCCCGAGGCGTTGCTCGGTGAGGCAGGGACTAGTCAAGATCTAAGAGAGCTTTGTTTTCGAAACCGTTTTCTAGTTTTTTTCCGGTCATCTCTCTTGTGCTTCCTGCAAATGAAGAATTCAAAACCTGCGGTTTTCGGAACCAATGGGCAAGGAATCGTATCGCTTGATGCTTGGTGAGTCTTGTGGTACCGTGCAGCGTTTAGGTATTGGACACCCGCAGATTCTTGTAACATTCGTACATACATAACTCGTACGTCCACAGGCAGGAGCACCCAGATGTTTGCTCCTTGTTGAAGGAAAAAGCTTCATCTTGACAAAACAACGACAACGAAAACAACAACGACGATGACAACGACAACAGCAAACGACAACGACAACGACAACGACCACGGCGATGACGGCACCACCTACAAGAAAAACAATAATACAGGTAGCCGTCCTCTGACGCTATGGATTCATTGCTCATCTATCTTAGACTCTTTTCTCAGATAGAGATGGATTCGTTGTGTTATATTAAGAAAATAGAAAAAAATAACAACAGTAGTGATGTCAGAATGAACGACCTGGATTTCGTTGAACACCCCGCGAGCTCCTTCTCATATTCTATTAAGCATCGCCCCGGAACGAAGTCGAAGGTAGGGCCGCGGAACAACAACAAACCGCCTCCGGGTCTCTCGAGGTTTTGTGCTCCCCTGGAATGGTATTCGGGAGGCGGGGGGCGTTCTCATGGAAGCGAGTTTTCTCTTGAGGGGATGCTATGGCGTACCACCTATCGTACATGCACACCCACTTCACAACATTGTGCCGTCTATCCCTGGGGGTGGGGGCCTAAACGACAAACAAGAACATCGAAATCTCGTTCACTCCTTCACGGCACATTGGTTCCATTTGGTTTCGCCGCGCACCAGGCAAAAATCACACTAACACCACCCTACACGAGCTTTGCCTCTTGCAGTAAGGGTGCTTCTTATCGACCAATAAAACACGAAAAAAAAAACGAAACCGTTTTTTCTTGAACACATATGGAGGCGTTTTTGAACGAAAGCGTGAAAAGAAGGAGCCCGGTTTTTTTGGGGCTTGCTACTTAAACGAATTCGTGTTTTTGACAGAAGCATGGGACAAGCGCACCGCAGGCGCTGTAACATCACTGAGAACACTAGAAAGACCTGCCAGACTCACGTCCAGGTCTGTTGTGGAGATGGACAAGCGGCAGAAGCGGCGTTGAGTCCGTTCTTGGTCCAAAACTAGACATTGCGTGGTGCTCTCGTCTTCAACTGCTGCTGTTGGTGCTGGGGAAATTTTTTCGATCACACATAGCAAACACGGAAACAGTAGAACGAGTACAGCAGCAGCAGCAAGACCTCCAAAGCGCTGATTCCTTCGGTTCGGCTGTCTATATGATACCATCTCCCGGCGCCGTGCTGCTTCGTGGGTATTGAGTGCTTGGGTGCTGCTCAATAAGGTGTGTGAGAGACGTGTGCCACCTCACCAAAATGCCGTTGGAAAAATTGCGGCGAGATGATGTGTTTTTGGTCGGGCACATCAACATCAATCCACGGCGTCACGCAGCAGTAGAGCAACAGGGCCTCCAACACGCTAATTCTTTCGGATTGGCCATCTATATGATGCTGGCCGTCAGCGCGGCTGCCGCCCTATGATTGTTGAGCTCGTCTACCTTTGGGTAGGTGGTGGTCAAAGATGGGAGTCGCAACCGTGAAAAATGAGCTGGCAAACTGAAGAAATCGCAAGCAACACCCAGGTTGCGACACTCTGCCGTGCGCCTGTTGTTGCTAAAAACTGAAAACAGCAGGCCGGGTGGACGGGATCTTTCTAAGTGTGTTGTCCTCTGTGCCGGGTGCTGCTTATTGCGCTTTTATCGCTGCTCTATGGTGAGCAATACCATGTCAACCTGTTGTGTGCCGAGCAAAGCGTGTATTCAGGGAAGGAAACGTGCTTTTTTTTATGACATCACGAAAAGAACAAGCAAAAAAAAGTCGGGTTTTCTTTCAACCGTTCCGTTTAAAAAAGAACGATTTCGACGTTGCGTTAACAATAACCCTAATAGTTCATCTATCGCACTGCCGTTTGAAACCACCAAGAAGGGGTGCTTCCCCAACCAACGTCGTGCCACAGCCACCGTTTTGACCCTCATGCAGGCCCACACAGGGCCATGGAAGAAGGAAACCCACTCACACCATTTCGCCATCAGGCAGTGTTGGGTTAATCCTTCCGCGTTTCTGCGCACAATATGGGGAGAAAGAAACCCGGCAGTTAGAGCGGGATTGGAAGGGGGAAAAATAGAGAGAGGTAATCAGCGAATGCCAGAGAAAATCGCCTACAGTGGAACTGAGGGCCGACAAAATATTCCCATCATCGGACTTGCAATACCGACGCTGGCCGCCCGGGTCGACCATGCTGCGCTGGGATGGCAACATGAACATATACAAACGTACATAAAATGGAAGTGGGGATCTTAACAAAGGCTCCCAACTACTCGACGTTTGTCAAAGACGATTTTCCCTTCAAGCACTAGACTATGTAGCATCTGCCGGCTGACACGTGTGACCAATACAGCTGGATGGTGCCGGCCATAGGCCGCACCAGGACCTGCACCTGGCAAACCTACATATTCCGTAGTGGTGTTGCTTTGAGGGCGCATCCAAATGAACGGACGTTCTCCGCACGGTGTCATGTGCCATACCGTCCGACCTCCGGCCTGCCCTCCGGCCTGCTCCCCATGATCAACAGGTAGGCGGTCAACATTTTGGTAAACGTCCGTGTGTTTCATCGGCTCCTGGGGCTGCCCCATACAGGATCCATCGACTTCCCTGAACACGGCCCATTCTTTCAGCAAGTACAAGCCTTGAAAACTTCAACGTCAACGTTGGCCTGTTTCGCTTCCTCAGAGGTTGGAGTGCTCCGTAGCGCCCAGCAGCGAATAAAACATCGTGCGAGCGTCCTGATCAACATTCCTTGTCTCCCGAAATCCCTCCCTGCACGTCGTTGATGTCCCTGCACGTCGTTGAAGGCTGTGTGGAAAAGGTAAATCGGATATGTACCTAGAAGTGCCTTGGTCTTGGCTTTTACTTGAAACAAGGGCGATCGACGCGACGATCGATGGGGCGACGGCGGCGCGATCGACGAAGGCGGCCCAAGGCCGCCCTATCGACCGACCGACCGACCGACCGACTGACCGACCTAACCCAACCCTACCCTACCCAAACCTACCCAACCCTTCACGTCAAAGACGGAGCTTGCCGCTTTGCACACCACCGTCCGAATGAGGGAGCGGTAGTGTACATATACACAGGGTGGTTCTTGCCAAGGTATATGCTACCGTGATGCTGCTGTGCAATATAGCAACACCCAACAAAAGCAAGTTTCTTTTGATCCAACCCGCTCTACAGCAGTACATACATACATACAATTGTACGACTTTGCATACAGCATACAAGGTTGGTGGAAACAGGGCCCGTTTGAGTCACGCCGTCTGCGCAGAAAAAAAGCTCTCGACAGGAGCCCGCGAGCGTGAAAACCAACCTTGAACACCGAACACAGAAGAATGCGACAACTTATCTCCTCCCTATTATAGTATACAATCTTAGCTTCGGCGATCTTTTGCTACATTTCTTTTGCTCAGCGACTAGTATTGTTGTGCCGCAGCTACATGTAGCCGCAGCTGTTGGGGGGCGCGCCTGCTACAGCAGTGTAGATACTGCTGCTATAGCTGGTCGTCAACGCAACACAGCATCTCCCTGCCGCGATACAATTACCGTGGAATCGCCACGCTGCAGCCCATGGTCGCCCCCATTCTCGACAGGAAAGAAGACCGCCCATACGTTGAGCACCCTCTGTGAGTGGAGTGGCTCGAACAGAGCGACAGATCTCCTTCACAGGACGCGTGATTCTACGTCACGTATTAAGGAATAATAAATACACACACAGAAAGACTACCCATTCGAGATATACCCACAGTCGAACGGGATGTGGTGGAGTATTTTCAGTGAGTGGAGGAAAACCGGCTGTATGGATCATGGGAAGTGTGCTTGGAAAATATCGAACTCCGCCTTCTTTTCATCCTCTGCAGCAGGCAGGATGGCTCGTGCTAGGCGTGCATCAATCTGGATGCTCGCACCTCTTCCTAAAGACAATCGATCAACGACCTTGTTCCGCGCTGTTGGAACCGAAGCCCCTCTTGCACGTCTTGATCAGGATGCGTGACACTCATCTGTCATCGACGTGTGTGGCGTGCACACACAATATCATGCATGCGGGGCTCCGTGTGTGCATTCCACGTACCTTGCTCTCCTTCACGAACCCCCCCGGAGAGGCCGGCCCTGCCTGTTTCACACGCACACACCATGGGGACGGACGTGGAGATGCGTCTGCTAGGAGGACCCAAGCTCCAGCGTGAGCAGAGCAATGTATCAACGTGGGACTGGTCGGAGAGTGGTTGGGATGAAGAGGTGATCCTTGGGTTCTAGAGACGTGCAGTACTGCTGTAGCAAAACATCTCTCTGCGAACTTCTGCGCAAAGGCCCGAAGACTTGATTCTACTACTTTACAACAGAAGACTATCGCTCCCTGCCTCGCTTTTGGTTGCGCTGGTGTTATGTTTGTCTCCCCCTCCCCGAAAAGGCCCCACTCTGTCTTGTGTCGGTATTGGACCACAACAGGAGTGAGAGGTTTGAAGGGGGTATGGCAACATCACGGTGTACTCTCGCGAGCAGTAGCAGTGGAGACTACTACTGCTGTAGCGGCATACCCAGGTCATGGAAATGGAGATCGTGACAAGAGAGATCGTCCCCGTGTTGCGGCTCTTTCCCATCCAGTGGTGTGGCGTTGATAGGGCGGAGTGGCAACATTATGCGCGCACAGCAAACGGCAACAGCATCACTGATTCTGCACGCTGACGCCCTTGCTCACGCCGTACAACAGAAACCCATGATGTTAGAGCTACTGCACACTCGTGTGCATTATTCTGGCCGGAAGCATGTGCGTCGCTTGCCCTTCCTTGCCTTCTCGATGCCGACACAGAGCAACGCCGACGTGGGCGATGCGAGCACCTGCTTTAGAGCTGGAGACTATTCCACGAGATATACGGCACCTCCCCTTGCTGGCTCTGGAGCTGTTGTTGCGCAGCTTCCGCGTGTTAATCGTACACTTGCGAACAGTGGAGCTGGAGTCTTTGCTGACCAGCTGCACCTATAACCTTGAAGCTTACCCTCTCGGTGCATGTAGTAGCTATAGATGGGTAGGGCAGACGGGGCAGTATGTTTTGTCGCAGGAGTTGCTCACAAGTAGCCAGCGCGGCGGAGCTATCTCACCTCTACAAAACCGGGAAGACGCATCTTTTCTATTTCATGGCACCCGTGGGTGGAAGTTGAGGGGGGAACATCCCGTTCCATCAAAGGGGTATACCATGGGTGCTCGGCGTACTGTCCACTGTACACCCTATTTTGCGCGGTAACGGTCTTGGCCCCTCGTCTCTCGGACCGGCGCGTGGTCACGCGGAATGATTGTGGTGCGGTACTGCTTGCCCCTGCCTTCACCTTTATCGTGAGAGGGCCCGGTAGAAGTACATTTTCCCCCAGGAATCGACGAAATCGAATTCGTTGTTCCCTCGCGAACAAGCTCTCTTCTGTAATCGTGGTCGCGCCACGATCTGAACGAATGATTGTGCGACCTTTGATCACCCAAGGATATCGGCTACACCTTCGGGCCAGGGGGCGGGGGTGGCGGCGCCCGACGGTCGGGCTGGTTGAATCTCCGATCGACGTTACCACTGGGGTGGCGCTTTTATCTACCTCGTCGTTGCCTCGTAGGATCTGTGGTGTGATGGTTCCCCGCGCACGGAGTTTTCTTTGTGCGTCCCGAACGACGCTCCTCTGTTAGTCTGTCTGCACCTCTTGTCGGTGAGCATGTAGCATGTTCGTTCACGTCTTCATTCACCTTGCGGACAATGCGAGAAGACCGTAAAACTCACATGGTCGTGCTCCGATCAACGTGGCCGCGCAGGCAAAGTCGGGCGACGAGGAGGAGTCGCGGACGCTCAATCACCAGCAGCAGAAGCAGCAGCAGCAGGGTAGACGAATGAGCCGAACTCGACCGCTGCCGCAGGCGATGAACCCTCACCACGAAGAGCTGCTCATGCCGGAAGAACAGCAGTGGCGACAGCAGCACCACCGGCAGCGGACAAGGCAAGACGACGATGAGCAAGGAGACAACGACCCCCCCCCTGTCAAGGGCAGCAGCAGCGGCGGCGGCGGCGGCAGCAGCAGCGGCAGCAACAACAACAACAACCTCAGTAACGGAGGGGGCAGCGGCAGCGGCGGCAGCAGCAGCAGTAGGCGGTGGAGAAGGTGGGCATCATCGGAAGCGCTGTGCGGCTGCAACAACGAGGAGAGCAGGGCTAGGAAGAAGAGGCAGCAACAGCAGCAGCAGCAGCAGCAGCGCCGGAGTAACAACAACAGGTGACGATGAATAACCCATTGACGTTCTGGTTGCGCCGCTTTCAGGCCCTCCCGGCGGGATTTGGTAGGAGAGGCCGTCGTTGCGATAGAGCCTGTTGGTACACCTAATCAAATCTAATTCCAGGCGAGGCTTGCGCGGTGAGAGGTCTGGCGCGGAAGTGATGTTTTGCGGCGTCCATCAAGATACCGATGCTGCCGTCTTCTTCCGTATTTTTTGCTCCAGCTTGAGAGTGATTGGACGATGCCGGTCACGAACCGTGTTTTGTCCCCGAATACGTGGAACCGTTGCCGCGGACATGTCTAGTACCGACCAGGTTATGTCGCCCAAACGGCTTGGGACGCTAAATGGGGAACACACAACCGGTACTGCCGGCGCGAATGGGAGGAGTTTTTGCCTTTGTCTTGTAGCGCTTTTTGGGCATGAGTGTTTGCCGGAACCATGATAGCACCATCTGTGGGAAGCTCGATCTCATGGATTGCATTCTCCCTGGCCCACAACAGAAACAGACGAAACTAGTCGCACAGCTTTCTTGCATATAGGGTGGCGCTGTAGCGGCCAACCGCGGTGGATTGCGAATGTACCAACCCCATCACGAAACGAGCACGACGGCAGCAGTGCGGCTGCGGCTGCCGTGGTGTAGTTTCCAGGCTCCGAAAGAACCGCGGTCGGTGGTCTTGGCGACAGGACCACCGACGAAAAGCTGAAAACCTTAAACGCGTGCCTCTGGACGCGTTAGTTGTGCTCCCGACAGGCCCTCGTCCGATGCCTTTGCGCTCAACCTTTTAGCACGCAGCGCAGTGCACTCTACCCCCCCCCCCCACCCTCGCTTACTAACCCTACCCGACCTTCACCCCCAGCAGCCAAGCAGAAGAGCAGCAGCGACAGTCGCCGCTAACACTGTCGGTCGGCGTGGGCGTGAGCGGGGCACCCCGGGTCCTGCAGTCCCCGAGAAGGCTCCTCTGCGGCAGAAGGAGTTCCAATCACAACAACAGCGGCGTTGGCGGCGGCAGTGCGGCGGGCGGGTGGCGGGGGACCATGAGGGAGATGCGGGGCTTCCTGCTGTGGATGGCGGTTATCCTGGCGCACATGGTCCAAGTCCCCATGCTTTGGTTCGTGTTCTGGCAGGTGACAAGACACGGCGGGCGGGCGTTGGAAGGAGGATAGGCCCATGTCATTTGGTGGTAGGGTTGCGAGGTGTTCGTGGTGGCTCGGGGTGTGCTTTCCACGACCGTTTTTTTGTTTGTGTGTGTGTCACAGGGAGACTACTTGTAGCGTCGTCACGGATACGCGGCACAAGTACACCTACCTTTTTTTTTCTTAAAAGGCCTGGTGCGGACCGGAAGATTTCGGGACTCTGGAGCTATTGGAGCTGTATTCAATTCAAAACTGTACCGTGAAAACGGTGAGGCTGTCAGCAGTCAGTCAAGGGTTGGTGTACGGGGACCTTTTCCGAACCCAGGTTGTGGAGTGACCTGCTGAATGAGGAGAGAGTGGATCCCAACAATCATGTTTGTTGTGCTCTCTTCAAGTCCGGGTCGTGGGTCTCTGTGAAGTTTAGCGGTCGGTGGTGTGTGTACCTGGTGCTTATGTCAGCGAGTACAACGGCAGAGTTTTGTTTGGTGGCCGAGCGTCCGAAGGCCGAGGTTGACTATATTGGAAGAACTGCGAGCGATGCGTTAGGCAAGTTCAAAACGATGCGTGAGGCAATTTTTGATTATCGTGTTATTCTCAAATGTTTCGGTTCGCAGCTTCTCCTGGCGTGTGTGTCTCTCTCTCCGTCTGTCTGCGGTTTCAATCAGCATCGACCGCACTATCCGGCTGACCAATGAAAAGACACGAGACGTCTGTCTCTGAGCGGGATAAAGATGTTGGCGTGTCTGTGTGTGTGTTGTGGGCGTTCCGGCAAGGAAGAAACCACCAACTTTTCCCGCCCAGCAGCACGATAATTCTCTCTATATACATACAATACAACGCATATTCGAGATCGCGTTGTGGGAGAGCACGGACCTCGGCTTGCGTAGAACCGCACGCTATAAGTGTGTGCGTGCCCT